TACGTTTTATTTTGAGCTTTGATCACGATGATTAATTATTTTTTATGTTACTATTATTGTGTTTTTCAAGGAAGAAGATATGGGAAGCGAGTACGAGGAGGCGATTGCAGCTTTGTCAAAGCTTCTCAGGTATTATTACAGGCTATTCTTTGATTTTAACATTTTTTTGTTTGAACAGAAAAAAAGCCGAGGATTTCATTTCCTGGCACAGTTATTTCATCAATAATTGTCGTCCTTATCCGTCGTGTACCGTCCTCGGTTGCAGTGAAAAAGCTGATCTCGGAAGTGTTGCTGCCTCGAAAATCAAGCAGATAACGGCCGATTTAGAGGCAGCTGGGAGTTCTGACGCGGATAACCGGATCAAAACCGGTTTCACTCATTTCAAGACAGAAAAATTCGAGTACGTTTATAAATTTACTGCTACTATGTTTATACGTATGTACATGGTTTAAATCGCGGTCGCGATCGCGTTTTTAGTCATTTTGAATTTATTGTGATTGTGGTCATCACGGGTGTTATTGTGGCCGTCGCGGGTATTATTGGGCGTTATTACGGGTATAGCGGGTAACTCGGACGGCGACGAAACCACTATATCATGGACGAAATCGCGTTTTCGAAAGTTTTTTGAAACCATGTGTATGTATAATCCATTCACACCGATTTTGGATAAATTAACATTAATCTGCGTTCATTAGCTAAAATTATAAAATTATCACGCTATGAGTTATGGCATTTATTTTTTACTTCAAAAATTAATGAAAAAAAGAAAGAAAGAAAACTGGAAGTTCTATGTGTCTTTCACACCGTATCGATTTGGGTTATTCTCTTTGTATTTAATGTTATGCAACTTTTTTCCCCAGTAGTCCATTCTTGTTTTCAATTCCTTAATGTGTTTATCACGTTCTTTTGTTGTGATATAATAAATACAAATTAGTAAATTAATTAAAAACCGAAATGTAGATTAAATTATATTTAAATGTATTATGGTTATTATATTATTTTGATGTTTATATACGTATCATGTTCAAAATTGCTATATATAAGTTATGTCAAAAAGTTGTTATTATTAATGATTAATCTAAAATTGATTTTAGAATTGCTGTATGTAATGATATTTTTCACTATAATAAATTACAGAAATATCAATCACTATATTCATTAAATATCATCTACGTGATATATTAATATTTTAATAATGTCATTATTATTGTTTTTAAATGATTTTATGTTATTATTATTGTTATTATGAAGAAAGTTTATATGGAAGAGGTGGCTAGAAAAATGGTTGGGTGGTTGCACCTAAAGGTGCAAACTATGTGAGGCTGGATTGAGAAAATGGCTGCCTGCCTTTCCCCCCCCCCCCCCTTGAAAATGAATTATAATTAGCTTAATATGAATCTGTTTGGCTGCTTCTTTTTTTCAGTAAAAAATCTGAACTATACGGTACGCTTGCCAAAGGCCAAAGGCCAAAGCCCCAAGGTTCGTGGATAATTTTTTTCCCTTCGTTCTCTCGTTTATATTTTTCAACCATTTGGGTTTATTAAATACCCGGCTAGCACTCAATTTGAATTGATTTTCAGTGATTTACGCTGTCCTATCAGATATTATTTTTACCATAGATTTGTACTTTCTTAATGGAATTATTCCATTTTCAAGTACAACAATGCATTACGGTTTGAACCCAGAATATGCTAACTCAGAATGGTGGCGTGTATGGCTATAGTTTGCACTCTTTTGGAATGGTGGTAAAGGGGAAGGAAAAGAGTGATCTGTCTCTTTCTCTTCCGGATAAAGAAGAGTTTGACAAATTAAAGTGAAATCTCAGTGGGTTCTATGAGGTGTTTTCTTGTCTTTTTGTGCACTCAACATGTTTGTGGAAAAGTCGCTTCGGGTTATTTGATTCGTATTTGCTAGTAAATGTTGGATATAAATACATTTAAAATTACTTTATATATTTAATCAAAAAAATATTTTATATGAACCCATCAAACGATTTTTATTTTAATCGGAAAAGATATTATTTTCTATAGAGATTCCGATTTCAAATTAAGCAGTTATGAGTTGGAAATGGATGTCGCCAAATTTAAAATAACTATATATTTTAAATTTTTTTTTATGTATTTTTTATTAAAAATATATTTTCGTTCTAAAATTTTATAAGTTCAAGTTTGTCTTTAAAATTCTAAAAGTTTAAGTTCGCCTCTCTTATTGTAAAATTTTGTATCTGTCCCTTATCATTGTTTAAGAATGATTAATATTTTTTACTTTCAGTATATGGTATTTGCATGCTCGGACTCTCGTGTGTGCCCTTCCCACATCCTGGATTTCCAACCAGGGGAAGCTTTTATGGCTCGAAACATTGCCAGCATGGTCCCTACATATGACAAGGTTAGCCTAATTCTACATTATTAATTTCTTAAATATGTTAATTTGGCTCAAAACAGTTTATAATAAAGTATAATTATGGGTTAATTTAACTAGTGGACACTGGTTGCAAGTTATTCAATCAACAATTAAATATTTTTTTTTCTTTGAAATTTAATCCATTGATTTTATAGACTTATTGTCTTGATTTGTGTTGTTCACTGTAGAAAAAATACACCGGAGCTGGTGCTGCTATTGAATATGCAGTCCTGCATCTAAAGGTGAATTAATAATAATATATGATAATTGTATAGTTTTACTTTATAAGCATGATTTTCTATTGGATAATTAGTTTGTCCTATTTGAACCTATATGCATAAGCATATATAATAAATGTATGCATATTTTTATATATTTTTAAAAAATAATATATTTTATATTCATATCTGAATATTGTGGTTATTGGGCACAGTTGCTGTGGAGGTATCAAAGGGCTCATGTCTATCCCAGATGATGGAACCACTGCTAGGTAAGACGTTTATAAATATTACCATATACAAAACAGCAATTGCAGTACGATATTATAATTGTTATTTTACGATATCGGTTATCTCCCATACCAATTTATCAATATCTGTTATAGCTGAATACAACTGAAAGGTTTATTTATGTGAACGTTGCAGTGATTTTATAGAAGAATGGGTTAGCATCTGTGTATCTGCGAAGACCAAGGTGAAATCCGAATTCCATGAGATGAGTTTCCAAGAACTATGCGACCACTGCGAGAAGGTGAGATTTACGTCTACATTATTACTAATGTTTACAATCGGAAACATATTTATGGGCATGTAAACAAGCTAAACGAACACGTACGAGGGATGTAACTTATTTGTGTTGGTTCGTGTCCGTTCGTTAAACGAACACAAATGGACACAAACTACAATAGCAATAACCACATAAAATTTATCAACGTAAGCTACAATTTCATGGTTAACTTGTTCGAGTACGACAAAAGATGCATAAATGAGCATAAACGAACATATTACGGAACGTTCACGAATGTAAATGAGCGAATACGTCCTTGTTCATTTAATTAAACGAACAAAAATTCTTATTCATGTTCGTTCGTTTAATAAATAAATGAACATAAAAAAACTTCCCATCAAACGATTCACGAACTGTTGGTTGAGACTACATATTTGTAGTATGGCTTATTCGTATCATTATGTGTAATATTAGTGCTGTTAAACCAAATGCAGGAATCGGTGAATGTATCTCTGGGGAACCTATTGACGTATCCATTTGTTAGAGAGGCATTGGTGAAGAAAACCCTTACGTTGAAAGGCGCACACTACGATTTTGTCAATGGAAAGTTCGACCTTTGGAATCTCAACTTCCAAATCGCTCCCACTTTAGCTTTATGAGCATCCTCATTTCAACTTATCGCATAGAATAAGATTAGTGGTTGGCTCTTCATATTGGACTCAACTAGTAAAATAATTTATTGAGTTAAGTCAGCCCGAGTTTGCATGTTGCAGCACATGTTATGCTTCTGCTTATTTATTTTTCGACAAATTAAGGAAGACAGGTATGAGGACCAGCATGCCTAACTGTTAGTATTTTCTTTACATAATATAAGGTGCTTTCTTTGCATTACTTTGCATTAATCGTTTCGGAGGTATACGTGTAATCAAGTTTATATGAAATTTTCATAATTAACCCATCCAATGAATTAATAATTAAATTTAAGACCTTGGTTAATAAAAATGTATTTTTTTTGTCCATCTCTAAAGTTATATCTCACTTCTAACTTTTAATCATAAAAGTCCCACTTTGGCCCAGAAACTTATAATATTTCTGGTCTCCTTGACACAAATTGCGCCCGGTTGTTTCGTGTGTTTTCTTTTTGGGATAATTATATACGATCTATGTATTATATTGGAATTACTAATTTTTTTAAAAAATATATAATTAAAAAGTAGTATTTATTTAAATTCTTATTAGTTTTTGACAACGTACATTGTTGTTCGAACCCAATTTTTTTAAGAATAATAATATTTTTTATTAATAGAGAAAATAATAAGTTTTCTATTATCACTGAGATCACTTAATGAATTTAATTGTTTGATTTTTTTTAAGAGAGGATTTTAAAACACCAAATAATTGTTTAGAATTTTTATTAATAGTTGATATTGTGCTCAAGGGTATCTTTGCGAGATTTTAGTCTAAAATTTTAACTTTCAACTCTTAAAAGGTGTGAGGAACACCCTGTGGGTGGTTCATACGATTTAGAGGGGAAGTCACAAAAGTTGTAATGTTTACACCAAGAGCAATTAAATTTTAATCATAGTCATGGTGCGGTTTAAGTCTCGTATTTATCAATTATCAGTTGATCTAATTGACTTGAGACTTTAGATAATTGTTCACCCATGAGCCAATAGGGTCCTCCATAGTGCCTTCAAAGATGAAGGCATTTCTCATCCTACAGATACCCCCAACTAACACATGCACTCATATTCGATACTTAAGCCCGAATCCAATAACATAGATGTAAACCATATATATGACATTGGTTTCATTAATAGAAAAAGGCCCATTTTTGTTTCTGCTACGACGATAGAAATTATGAACAGATGGAGGTGAAAGAATTGGTTGAGTTTTAAATAGAAGATTGAGTAGCAAGTGGTACTTACAGGATCTGGAACTGATAATATATAATACATACATATATACAGTGGAATTAATAGCTCTTTGTCACATTTGGATGATCAGAATCATAGTCCTCGGTCGTCAGAATTCGCCCTTTTACACTCTTCTCTGCATCAGCTTTACCTTTCCGGGATGCACAATTCATTTGTCTTTCATGCCTGAACAACATTCAAACACTATAAGAAACAATAATAAAAGATACTCCAATATATATATATATATATATATAACATGTATCTAACATGAGAACCTTAAGCTATGTTGCTCCAACTTTTTTTCTTTTAAATACTCATGTTCCATGTGCACCAAGACATTAGTATCTCTAAAAGATACTCCAAACGCTTACTTGTATCACACCCGAACCTGAATAACAGATAAAATCTGCAAGGAAAAAGGGAAAATTGATACTCACAGTCGAGCTTTCTTCTTCTCTTTGTACCTCATCATGGCATTTTCTCTGGCTTCTGAATGAAAGTTATCTAAGTCAGTTGAAATGCATGAAGCTTCCCCATCTGTGATAGGTGAAACTCCATTATCAAGAAAGTCAGGAGAGCTGGTATCAGCACTGAACCTTGAAACAGTCGATGTTGCGGAATAAGATGGTTGAGTTGTGCAATCAGAAGTGTTGATTCCCTGGAAGTTATGAATGAATTGTAATTCGATGAAATCCATTTTAATATCCAATGTTACTCAGACTCAAAGGTGAGTTTCTATGTTGTCTTACATGCGTATGATCAAATTTCGGATTAGAAGAACCTTTGAAGATCATATCTCTATATTCATATGATGGTCACGAATATTGGATTCGGAGATCATATCTCCATATATGTATTATGAAGTCATAGGATGAAAGAAGTGCCATGAACCTAACCTCAATAGACATTGCATTAACATTATCCGAGTTGTTGATGGTCATCTCCTTCATAGATGAGCTTGGAACATCTTTATTAGCAAGCGATCCCCTGGTTTGGTCTCGATCAACACCAAAGAGGTCCTCAAAGTTGCGGAAAGATAAATCAATATCAGGCATGTTAAAATCATCTTGGCAAAATGTGTCTTCACAAACACCAAGATCTTGCATATTTTGAGACCATAGCTGCGGATTTCGATTAAGAAACACATTTAACACAAAGATTGGAATATTGGTATTTCAGGAAAAATGAAAAGTTCTATCAGTTATGCATATGATCTATTTCAATGACCTTGTGATCAGTGGAACGGACCTGATTATTACGGATCGGACTTTTACATAGCCAAATAGATTCTCCGTAAAAAGGCACACTGGAAGTTGAAGATGACAATAAGTTGTCCAAATCCGTATTCAGCTCCTCGAGTGGATTGTTACTTCGGTGGATATCAGTACCGATATCTTGGACTAGATTGCTATCAACATTTTTTGAAGAGGTGAATATTGAAGATGTGTCAGGTTGCTCTAGACCACCATTAAAAGATAACCGACTGTCTCCGTCAGTGAGCTTAAGCTTTTCCAGGTCAAGAATCTGTTGCAGAATCAATGAAGTGTTTTTCATCTGCTTTACTTTCTTAACAACCTGCAATAACAAAAGCACAGTAAAAAAGTGTAATAACCTGCAATAACTAGAGGACCTAAGCAGCAAATGAAAATCCCTCCATGCTAAAGGCAGGTGAGAATCCTATCAAATCATTCTATTTTTAGATGATAGATTTGTCTTATTTAGTCAAAATTCTACTACCTTTGAACTTTTACTAGTTATAATTCTAAAACATATGAACCAACAGTTAGAAACTTTCCAAAATCTAGTATATTTTTCAATATTTAGGATCTATATCACTTCAACTCGAATGCAAGAGCAATTCGGATATGTTCAGGGTAGTTAACTGTAGAATACATATTTTTGCAGCATATTAGGGGATTCTCAAGTAGGCAAAAAAATGACAATGGTGAATGCATAACCATAGCTGATTATCAAGATAGCAGCTAAAGAAAAATACTGAGAAATGACTAAGATCTACTTGCAAGTAAGTCCTATCAAGTAACCTTGATTTTTTTACTGTTTGATCCGGAATTGCGTACTGTGGCAGCAAGAGAAGTCACATCGGATTTACTCGACGAGGCTCCAATTGGGAAACAAAACTGTCTTAAATTCCCCGGTTGGACCACACTGGCATTCATAGAAACACGTGAACTGGATAGGAACTGGTCTTGAAGAGCACTGTTATCCAATTCATTAATTTCGAAGCCCCACAATGCTGCAAAATCCTTAGCCGAAGGGCACCCCAAATAGCTACTAACTGCACGTCTCTGGTGGTGCCTGGAAGAAGCATCATGGATGCTTTGGTCACAACCACGGCACAAGAACATCTGGTGATCGAAACAACAAACATGTGATGGGCGGCATCGGCACGAGTCACATAGAAGGGTACGAAGATGCCGGTTCGAAAGTGCGTTGGCCGAATGGACCCTTGCATCGCAGGAAAGGCACAGATGTGCTGCATCCGATTTGCAATAAACAACTGGTCTTGACGTTGTGCAGAATTCACAGATTTTCTCCATGTCAAAGCTCCAAAATTAAAACAGTGTCTTCTGGTATATGTATGTGTATTCAAAAGATCACTTCAAATTCATAAGTTTGATAATTGATCAAAATGATGATGTTCTTTTGATGAAGAAATCTCCATCTCCACTTTACTGGATCTACAAAAGTTCATGATAATAACTGAGAAATCTAAACTACGTATGTTCTTTCGTCGGACTCTTCATTTTTTTCAAGTTCTCAGTATTAGAATATAATCCTTTAAAAACTCTCTAAATATATAAAAATCTTATCGAAATCAAATATATCCACGTCGAACATATATCCTTATCCGACACTCACACATGCTTGGAAATCTGATTTAGAAACCAAACGTAGATTACATAGTATACAAAATTTTGGACTTTCTTAAGAGAAAGGAAAGAAAAACAAACCCTTAATTTCTATCAGTTCAAACTGTAAAACGAAAAAAATAATAATAAATTAAAATCGCTAGCACGACAAATTCAGCAGAAACTAATTAGAATTATTCCTTCTCGTGCAACTCTTTTTTTTTCGGTCTGAGGAATTCTCAACAACCAAGTAACTTTTAAAAATTAAAAAAGAAAAAAAACAATCGAATTATGAATAAACAAAAGAGATCTAAGATACAAAGATCGAAAAGTTAACATATCCAATATGAACGATGCACACGTACCTTTGCGTTTGTTTCCCGAGAAAAAAAAAGCAAGAAACTAGAAAAGTTCCGAGAAAACTGAAAATAAGATTTAAAAAAAAAAGTGGTTAGCTTTTGATTGAGTTCTCGTTTACCTTCACATTTCTTTCTGTTTTGATTTGGTTTTTCGCCTTTTTTTTTTCTTCCTATTATCTTGCCTGCTTGGTGCTTTGTTTGGCTGACGTGTGCAACGAGGGCGTGAACTTTATGCTGACGTGGAACTAACACGTTATCCTCTGTGGGACCCGCCAACGTTATCCATCGTGCATGTGGAACTGTTTGGTTTGGGCGTTTCGGTTCCCATGATGAGTGATCCAGAACCATACCAATAGCATCCTGCCACGTGGTCATATGGTTGCTATGAATGACGGCTGCAAATAACACAATTATACAAAATTCGATTGAGAATTTTTGGGGGAAATTTTAAATTAAATTAAGGTTTATTTCTGATTGTTTTTAAAATTTTCAATGAACATCAACTATATACGCATATATGTAGTAGTGACGGATCTACATATATGTAGTAGTGGGTACGTATTCATCTTAAAATCTAAATTTTCTTTAATTAATTATTAATTTTACTAAAGGTATTTATATTTAAAGTTTTTTATATTTGTCCTATCTATGTGATCTGCGCGTATAATGGACAAAAATGTTAAGAAGTTAGACTCTAATATAGAAGTATGTATGTTTATATTATATAATATTCTAAAGGAGCAAAAGAAGAATTATTTTAGTCTTAAAATCAAAAGATCAAGGTGTGTGATTCAAATAAAAAATTACATACATCACTTTAAATATTGAAATAAGGTTTTACTTGAAGAAGAGATGAATTTTAAAAACATAATTTACTGAATTTTTTACTTAGATCTTGGAACCTGATAAACGATCAATGATAAAAGGAATATCAACATAACATGAGAGTTTATCGTGTCCCACGGTGGGCAATTCATAATTGCTGGAGGTCTTCCACGGAAGTTGCTCTCAACCTAGCATTGGGGGCAACCTACTACCCTACCTCCCCCTTACCCCATTATAAATGGGAAAAAAGGTCAGCTAAATATAACATAACATGAGAGTTTGTGTGATACCTCAAAAAATTTGATATCAAAATATGATCCATGATGATATTGAATTATTATTAAATATTAATCATCAAATCTACCTTTTATTAAGATATAATAAAAGGAAGTTCATAAGATAATTTGAGTAACATATGTTACATATGTATTGTGTTGAAGCTTCTAAAGGTGCAAATCAAGAAGGATCTTTCAAGGTAAGATAAGGGTAAATTGGTAGAGTGAGGCAAAGGAAATAACTCACTTTTGGTGGAATTTTGTTTGTTTAAAAGTACAAGTGAGTATCATTTTATGAGTACATACTACTTTAATGAATAATTAAGCTTTGTGATTAGTCCTTATATTAAAACATCCGTGTAAGGTCATGCTAAGTTCGATTTTCGAAGGTATAGATTTCATGGGAGTATGAATTATTTGTTGTTTAAAGCATGTTATATAAGAACATTATTTTTTTCACTGATGAAACTTATTTTTTTCTAAAGAAATGTTATTAACACGAACTAAACAATCTCGATGGATTAAGAGATATTCTTAGAAGTTTAAGGCTTGACAAATTATTATCCTTAAAAGTTTTAGATTCGAGTACCAGAGACAGCATGATATTTGAGCTTTTATTATTAAATAATTGAGAATATTTAAAACATATTACCACTTGTAACCCTATATTAATAAAAAAAAGAAATGTTATTTTGATTTATGAGAGAAAAAAAAGTAATGATTAAACAACTCTGGTATTGAAAACAAGAAAGAAATATATAGGAAAATATACACATAATTATTGATATATTTTTCCAAGCAAAATTTGAACAACAATTTTCAATTATTTAAATTTTAATTTGCCATAGAATTTATATGAATTCTGAATTTTTAAAATTCTCTATTATCTTTTTTAAAACATTTTAATATATGTTTAGAATTTTGAAAAAAAATAAATTACATCTAAACAGTCTTTGCCATCGGTGCTTTCAGTGCTACTGATATGGGGATATTTGTTTCGGCCACCGCCGGGAACGGCGGTCCCAGTGGATTCACTATCACCAATGAAGCTAGCTCCTTGGGTGGCTACGATTGGTGCTGGGACGATTGATAAGGATTTTCCCGCCGAGGCCAAGCTTGAAGACGGGAAGGTGCATGGAGTCAGTATCGGATGTGGCAGTTGGTATACGCCTGAGAAGAAAAACGTGGATTTTTCTTGAAATTTAAACACATTTAATTTTTGAACCAGTGACCACATTCGATAAGACCAAAAACAAAGTGGACCATTAGTATAGTTTACCCTATATTTTAAAAACACTACTTATATGATCACATATTTATTTGCATATCAATACGTGCACACGTCATGAATCCAACACTATGATCAAATATGTTTATACAATCCTAGTCACATACTCAATTCTATTTATACAATCCTTTAAAATACACAATTCTTTTCTAACCTTGTGGTTCACGTTCTTCCTAGTTCTATATCATCTAATCTTGAAATTGAGCCATAATTCAATTGTGGTTGATTTACAACAGGAACCTCCATAGTTTGGGTAGTGAGTGCATTAGTGGTTAGAGCAGCGTCATCCCCATTCTCATTTAACGATTCCTCCAACAGTGCATCAAAATAAGCATAAGGCCCCCATCCTGTAAAACACACCACCTGAGTCGGACATGAATCCTTCAAGAATGCAATTAGCATTACTGCAAGAAATAACGAGGAAGCTTGAAGCTTTTACCATCATCATCGTATGGGTTGGGGAAGAACTGCCGGTAGCAAAATGCAGCCACCACAAGGCCTGTAACAATTCAACAATTCCAATGTAGTCTAAGTTCTTAATGGATGGACGGAGTTAATATGATATAGAAGAGAGAAAAATACCTATAAAACCACCAGCGAAGACATCGTTCCAATGGTGCCAATAGTCATCAACTCGAGAAATGGCCACTAGTGATGCAGCGAGCAGGGGAAGCAAAATGATGCAAAGTTTTGCTATATGCCCTTTCCGATCAAATACTTTCACTTTCCCTGATAAGTACAGTGACAGAAAACCTAACCCTGCAAATGACCCTGCACTCCATGTTCCCAGTATTGGACTTCATATGTATACATGATTCTGCTCAATATGTATGAGCATAAAAAATACTTACACGATGCATGACCGCTTGGGAAGCTCTTGTGTCCTTCTTTTATGTCGGCTTTGTTTCCATGACATACAACGTTACCCCATCTATCATAAACCTGACGAGATTAACGCAAAAACGTCTATCATCTTTTAAAAATATTTGTTAAACCAAAAGATTCATACATCTTTTCCGTCTGGAAAACAACGCCAGAAAAAATCTGGTCGTGGCCGACCCACTGCATCTTTAATTGCATCCGTCATCACGGAAGTAATCAGTACAGCAAACAACAGGCCTGCCCTTCGACATAATGACAACCTGTTACTGATACAATATTTTGATTTATGAATTCTTAAAGCAAATGGCTATTACCTAAAACGCTGTGGTGCAGGTCATAAACATCTCTCCTCCGGAAATACACGAAGATGAAGACACAGATTGGTAACAAAACCGAGAAAATCTGAATCAAACAGAGGTAAATGAATCCTGTAAACATTCATTTTATACAAAACAAAACAACTGCTGATAAGTAGAAATCAATATGAGACCTCAAAAATCTTATATTATGATATGGTCTGAGTTCAAATGCATACATACATGCATTGTGATAATCGTTCATTCTTCAGCATAAGGAAAGGCTAATATTCTGAATAGGTCACTTGAATCGAAATAACATAAGTCGAAAAAAGATAGTAATATCTTACAGGAACGGCCCAGACTGGGACAGTGTTGTCTTTCATGGGATACTTGAGATCAGTCATCATATCCTTTCCAACAAAGCGATAAAATGGATGGATGACGAACAAACCAACCTCTATTATAACCAGAAGCATTAATATTAGCCAATCATGTAAATGGTTCCTTGCCACTTTGGCTCCGTGTGTTTTGATCGGGTGTCTGCCGCGCTGGGCGGCCCCCAACTGCAACGGCGGCGGCTCCTGCTGCTGTTGTTGTCGCCGCCGCTGATGGTGCAGCACATAATTCAATTAGACACGTTTTAAAACTTGGGTTTTTTCAATATATGTTTTATAAAACATTAATCAAATTTTACACTAGATATGTCATATGAGCACTAAGAAAGACAGTCACAAAAATGTTTTACTTAATCATATAACATTAAAAATGCTGTGAAATTAATATTTTTTAATTAAATATTAACATGTAAATAACATTATTTGTGGAAAACATATTTTGTTGTATCATGTGAGGATTGAGGAATGTATCTCACACACCTAACACTTTCCAAATAAAAGGAAGGCCGTGATTTAGTGTAAACATGAAATAGATACAAAAACAGAAAAGAAAAAGATCAAAATCAATAAAGGAATAAATAATTCAAAATAACTAATGTAGAAAATCAAGACAAGTCATTTAGTTAATTTTTTTTAAAAAAAGTACAAACATATCACTTACTTAAAATATTATTATAAATATGTCAATGATGATAATCAATAAAAAATTATTATTTTGTCATGTAACATTGTTATTCTATCTAATATTTTTATATATTTGTAACAATATTTTATTTAAATGGTGTAATTGTGATTCTTCTAAAAAGTGAGCCATTTATTACCAAATATATAATTGAATGACTATTTTATCCAAAATAAGCAAATCATGCAAAATTATTCGAAGAAAGTTTGAAGATGGAATTAGGAACAAAAGAAACAAAGAATTACATGCTGCTGAAAATTAGTGTCGGTAATCATAAGAAACAAACCTGCAAAATACGCTGGAAATTGAGAAAAGAGAAAAGCGAACCCAGTTTTTTCCAAGCCATGACGGACTGAAAACAAAACGCAGAGATTAACGTGTACGGAGATTCAAAGTTTCAAACACCAACGAAGCATGGAATCTACAGTTTTACTGGAAGTGAGGTGTATTGTGGGAACAAACATGGCGGCATACGATTAATAGTAATTAAGCAAAGAAAAAGAAAAGGAAAAAAAAAAAGCGAGGAATCTTCATCTTCCCAACTTCAAAGCAAGAAATAGAAAAAGATGAGATAAGGAAGCCATTAAAGGTCAAATCAAATCAAAGCAAAAGTAAAAGCGAACGCAAACTTACCGTATGGTAAGCACACATATACGTAACCGTAATGCTGTATGTATAATAAGTAATATGTTTTTTCCCTGGAGACTTCAGAATTTTCCCGAGAAAGGGATGGAAATACGAGGCATTAAACGAGTGAGAGATGGGTTTGGCTTTCAAATGAAATGAAATAGGCAGGTGGCGGTTCATTTATGCAGTTTTTTAGTTGGTGTTGTTATTGTAAAGGGCAGCGGAGGAAAAAGGACGCTTCCATACTTTGCTTTGCTTCCATAATAATGTTACGAGGGATAGGATTTTGTGAATAATTAATTAATTATCCAAAGTAAAATAATAATAACAAATATTTTAAATATATTTTATGTAAGGTTTAAACTAACCCTAAGCTTTTATTTAAGTTATTACACATTCAATCATGTTTGAGTTTAATTTTTTAAATATTAGAATTTATTATATTTACATTGGAGTTGTAAATATATTTTATGTAATGATAATTTATAAGTTCAATAACAACTATATTGGTTTTTTAAAAGTTATAACAAATATATAACATAATTAAAATGTTATTGTAAATATATTATCTTATTATCAAATATTATCTTATTATCACATAATTTATTATATTATTTTTTTAAAGTATTTAACTCTCGTTTCTACAGTTCTACGTATCATTTTTAGATATAATGTGATATTAAATTATATAAAAGTATCATTTAATATATAAAATTATCATTTATATTGATAATACAATTTTTAATTTTATAAATAATTTTATTTTTTTTAATTAATATTTAAATAAATAATTAAATTTGATGTGATAAATTAAAGTTGATTGATTCAAAAATTAAATGCTACCAACGGGACCAGTTCAAGTAGTAAACAATCTGATATCGTTTAAGTATATTTCAATTTTGAGTCACTGTGTATGTAAAACTCTCCGTTAATAGACTCTCCTACAAAAACCATGTATAATATGTATCAATCTAAATTAATATTAGAACAAGACAGAGGAAACTGAGAACGCAACCAAAGAACATTAAATACTAATATATAAAGTAATTAAAATAAAATAAAAATAAATTATAATACATTATAAATATACAAATTTATAAAACATTAAAAATGATAAATATGACGATGAATGCATCTCCGTACAAATACATGACGTTAATGTAATATTTAGAAATCATATGTCATGTATAAATCAAGTAGTCTCCGTGGTAAATAAATTATTGAGCATCTTGAATGTCAGAGGTGTGAGCAGATTGAAAGTTATCTTTAAAATATATTATTTTATACTTACTCTAGTTTTATAAAAAAAATATCATATATCATAAATTATTATGTTTATATTTTAAGAATGTTATGGACGATAATTTTTTTAGAAAAATAAATGATAAATTTTATAAAATATTTTAAAAAATTAAAACTCTTATAATTTTAAAATTCTAAGCATATTATTTTGATTAAAAAGTTGGTTGCTTTGTTGGTTTTTAAAATAGTAAAGAAAAAAAAAAAACCTGGTGAGACCGTAGCCAACATGGAGCACAACATTCTAAGACAAAGCAGATAATGGGTAAACACGAAACTGAAAACCAAAAGAGAAATTAAAAAAATGGAAAGACAAAGCAGACAATTTTATTATGTGTCTGCAAGGCAGCCCCAAACTTACAGCATGCCTGTCCAGCAACCTAGCATTGGTGAAGCCCTTCGGGAATCCCTTCAAGCTGTCCGCAGACTCCTTCCAATCCTACAATGGCTCCCACTCATGTAGCATACAACCCTATGAGAAATGCTCCTCTTGCCAAACCTGAAATGACTGCTTCCACCGGCCTATACAGAACATCAAATACCGGTAACCAGCAGTTGGTTCAAGTGCAAAACAGTCGGCATCAGCAACAATATGTGGGTTACTCGCAGGTTCATCATCCTTCCCAATCTGTTGCACCTACTTCTGTCGCAACTGCCCAATATGCTTATGAAATCACTGATCCAGCTCATGCTCAGATGTATTACACTCAGCCTCTGGCACCCGCCAACATGCCTTCTCAGTACCAAACCATGACTGGAGTAGTATTGCCAGATGCATCTGCACAACTTCCGACTGATAACATTAAGTCACAGATCAGAACATCACAGCCAATATAAATCAGTCAAGAAGGAAGCAACAACAATTTTGAAAGAAGGGTTTCTTGCCATAATTCTGGTAGGTTTCATCATCAATATTTGCAACTGATTACTTTCATTCTTAGGAATGTGCACTAGATTTATTTATGCCGGTCGACATAAATGAATTATTCTTTCAGTATTGGTCCTCAAATCTCATACATCCCCCGTATTATTGATTGTTGTATAATCAATATAAAAAAGATTATGTTTCTCATACAGGCTTTGCTTTTTCTCTGCTGGAAATTCTTTTAGGTTGCCAAAGTTCACCTAGTAGAGACAGAGTGCAGGGCCGTGTGTCCTTAATTATTAAATTAGATTTGAATTTGGACTATTAAATTATGATCTTAACACGCATAACATATAATATTAATGTATCATAATAAATTTAAATATATATGTTTTGTTTATATATATATATATATGCATGTATTGAAGTGGGGGGACATTCTCCATGGTTTCTACAGCAGCAATTGTTGAATTCTACGAAATATTAGTGAGGGCTCTCTTTCTCTTCTTTTCTTCTTTAAGCTTCTAATCAAATGTGTTTTTGACAATTCCAAACACACAGATAACAAAAAATTATGATGTGGGCGACGATTTACGTTTTGGTTCTCACTTGTACGCCGCTAAATATTCCACTTGAGGGGGGTGATCAAATCAAATTTGATGGCATCAAAAATTTGGTAAAACTTAAAATCAGAGTAAAGTATATAAATGGTAATCTTATTACGGTTAAAAGTTACTAAATAATTTTTCGATTATAATATTGTTTTATTAAGTCATTTGACTATTAAGAGTTACATAATTATCATTTGATTATTGATATATTCTTAACTCGTTTTTTTATCGAAAAATTAATAACAGTTTGAATTAAACATTAATTAATTGCTCAAATATAGTTGGGATTAAATTTTATCATATTCATCACTAAATTAATGAAAAAGATGAAAATATATGAATAATCAAGTAATTATTTTATAATTTTTAATATCGAAAAATTAAAAAATATAATATCTTATAATCAAAAATTATTTTATAATTTTTAATGATCGAAACCTATACAGTCCAGAAATATTTTATGACCTTTACCCTTAAAATTAACGGTGTAACTTAAAAAAAGTGGTTTAAATCGACTTTATGTTTAGGATTGTGGTTTGTGTGGTGGCTCAGTGAGTCGGATCCATGATGGATTGTCTCTGGCCTGCCCGATCCAAGCCAACAGTTGAGCCATGGGCCTTCTGCGAAGGGTCTGGGTCTCATTGCCCCTAAAGATAAAGGCTCTGGATTGCTTTCACATCACGGCGTAGCCATGACGGCCGAATGCCACGCGGTCGCCGACAATCAATCAATCATCATCCAAAAAGTCCAAATTTTCTCAATTAAAATCAGACCACGCCAGGCTTTTCAATCAAATTTCAAAACGTTGAAACCCTGGCCCAACAAGAGCCAGCGCCACCGCCTGAAAAAAATGTCCGCGCTCCAGTTCCAGCCTCCCTTCCAGTCCCATCTCAGCCTCGCTTCCTCCACTTCCCGCGTTCTCAGTCCTGGACGGAACTTTACCCTCCCACGTCAGCTTTGCCCTCGTCGTCCACCTCTCTGCACCTCTTTCGTGAGGCTCCCTAGATCTTCTCCGATTATCCCGCCGCCGTTGCCGTTAAGCCTTCGATTTGTACCGCCGACGAGCTACACTTTGTGTCTATACCTAATTCTGATTGGCGCCTTGCCCTCTGGCGCTATCACCCTCCTCCTCAGGTTTTTTGCTTCTCTTTGACCTTGCAGGGATTTTACTACTAATATTTTTCTTTCTTTCAATAGTGCTATGTTTGTGAACATGAGTGTGAGGATCTGATGTATGTTATCTAAATTGTGAGAAAAATTTGTATAAATTGGTTGAGATTATAATGCTATGCTTGGGAACATGAATGATTGAACGTGAAGGTTTGGGATATGTTATCCTAATATGAGATAGAGATGCTTGAGATTGAATGTATATATGAAAGGTATAAAAACATGAATTTCAATTTAATACTAAATAGACATCCAACATACAATGAATTTGTGATTTAATCATGAATAGTACATTCATATGTTCAATTTTAACTATTTCTGAAATACAAACTTATCTTTTGCTGCCCATTTCTTTTTACTTATGGATAAATGAAATGAATTCATTTTTACAGCGCCCCTGAGAAATCACCCTCTGTTATTATTATCTGGCCTGGGGACTAATGCCATTGGATATGACCTTTCTCCCGAGGTAAATTCCGTTTTGCTTTTAATTTTATGATAATTTCCTTCAACAACCTTATGTTGTTATTTTTTTGAAATAGTAGAACATTAGCCCCCCCCAACCAAAACACACACACACACAACAGTATGAGAAAAAGTTGGGTACTATTTTTTTTATAAGAATTTCAGGCTTCGTTAAAAACCCCATTCTTGATTAATGGAGCTAGTAGGGTAGCTCCTTAATTAGCGGAAAGAGGAAAAGAGTGTCTTAGGATTTTATTGAACATAAGAAATTATATAAGGACAACCTGGAAACCCTTAACAGAAACATATAACAGGAACAACCCTAAACCACCCATAAACTGCAACAGTAGTTATGCCAGTTTGTCTTATTAACCCAACTAACAACACCTTCTAATACAATAAAAACCAACATTTACAACCAAAAACTAAAATAAACGCCTCTAAATACAACTATCGATTAATTAAGAACCAATTGAAGGATAAAGTTCTAGTGAAATATCGCAATCTTCGGGGACCCAAGAATTAGGTTTGAAGGAATGATCAACTTCGTGCACCATGATTTTGAACAAATTATCGCCGAC